ACTAGAAGGTTGTTTCTTAAGTTGGTGGAAGAGTCTAGAAGAATGGTGAGGTTTCCACCAACATGCAAGATTAGTGTAGATAATTCTAGCTTAGGAAGGTAGTGTAATTATCTAGATATCTCTCGCATGATGGTTCCATGCTTCTCCAAGGTTCCAACCATACCTATAAAAGGAGAAGGCATCCTCACCATTTGTATCAACAATAAATCAATTAAGAAGAAAGTAATCAATCAAGTAGCCAAAAAGCAAGTAGGCAATCAAGTGAGAATAAGAAGCAAGAGTAGTCTTGTAGGAGTGTGAGTGGTGTAGAGTGTGTCTCTAGAAAGAGTGAGTGTCATAGCTTCTAAAGAGTGTCCTTGAAAGTTTATGTGTTGTAATATTTTATGTGTGTAATACAAGCTCCAACACTTGTGTTAGAGTTGTGTACTCTAGTTTTTTTTCTTTCCAACAATTGGTATCAGAGTGGTATGATCAAGGACCGTCTTTAGTGAAGCTTCCGAGAATCGTGAGAAGTTTAGTACTTCGCAACATTGTTGACTAGTCTTGTTCGGCTTATTGAAGCTCTGTCGACACGATGGGAGATCTTCAAGTTGTTGAAGCAATCAAGAAGTTGAACAACAAAAATTACAACACATGGGCAACATGTAAGGAATCTTACCTACAAGGCCAAGATCTTTAGGATGTCATTGGTGGTAATGAAGTTACGCAGCCGGAAGAAGACACCAGCGTCACTTTGAGGAAAATGGAAGATCAAGGCAGGTAAGGCCATGTTTGCCTTAAAAACCACAGTTGAAGAGGATATGTTGGAGCACATACGAAAGGCCAAGACACCAAAAGAAGTGTGGGACACCTTCGCCACACTCTTTTCAAAGAGGAATGATACAAGACTGCAGCTTTCGAGAACGAGTTGTTATCGTTGGCCCAACGAGACATGACGATTGCCTAATATTTCCACAAGGTAAAGTCTATTTGCCGTGAAATTTCTGAGTTAGATCCTAGTGTTGCCATTGTAGAATCTAGGATAAAAAGAATAATTATCCATGGATTGAGACCCGAATATTGAGTCTTCGATGTCGTTGTACAAGGATGGCCGACCCAACCATCACTTGTTGAGATTGCGAATTTACTTGTCGATTAAGAAGCTTTGACAAAGCAAATGGGAGGGGTCTTGTTAAGAGGTAACGAGGAAACGCTCTACACCAAAAGTAAAGGCAGCGTTAAGCAGCATGTTGGTGGTGGATCTAAAAGAAGTGGTGACAAGGAAAAAGGTCATCAAAGAGGAGGGAGTTCTCAACCAGGGGGAGCTCCAAAGTATCACGGCAACCGTGGTTAGTCCCAAAATAATAAAAGATTTGAGGGCAAGTGCTACAATTATGGAAAGAAAGGTCATATGGCGAATGATTGTTGGTTCAAAAAGCCTGCAGAAAGTAACGTCGCCAACTTAGAAAAGAAAAATGAAGATGATTAGGACGCCGTAACATATCTAGCTATGGAGGGAGAGTGGGACGCTGACGCATCTTCTTGGTGGTGCTCAGAAAATGAAGTGTTGCCTGACTCAAGAGAGATTGAAGACATGTTGCAGGAGAAAATGGGAGACCAAGCTGCCCAAGTCCAATCGAGTCCAGATGAACCTTAAGATTTGCTTGCTAGAGATGATGTCAAGCAAGAAATACCTAAGAGTCCTTGGCAAACTGGTGTGTATCAACCACCAAGAGAATTTAGACTTAGTGAAGTGGAAGTATCAACTCCACGATCACAACTAAAGAGGTCAACAAGAATACTGAAGCCAAATCCCAAATATGCCAACTCAACTATAGTAGAAGAAGTTGAAGCTGAGATGCATAAAGAAGCATCACATAAGTCCGAGTGGCATACATCTGGGCGAAGAGGATGTTGTGCTAAAGAAAAATCAACCTTGGGATCCAATAGCAAGGCCAAGAGATGCGAAACCCATATCATGCAAATGAGTGTTCAAGATAAAGCGTTGTCAACCCAACGTAGAGAGAAGAATGAGATGGTGTTGAGAGGGAGTGTTAAAGAAATCAATCCCATCTCATTGAAAGACCTACACAAATCTAGAATAAAGAATTGTAGAACATTCACTAAACTTGGTTAGCTAGATTATCGAAGTTAAAGTAGTCATTTGTAGAAAGGACTAGAAGGTTGTTTCTTAAGTTGGTGGAAGAATCTAGAAGAATGGTGGTTTCTACCAACGTGCAAGATTAGTGTAGATAATTCTAGCTTAGGAAGGTAGTGGAATTATCTAAATATCTCTAGCATGATGTTTCCATGCTTCTTCAAGGTTCCATCCATGCCTATAAAAGGAGAAGGCATCCATACCATTTGTATCAACAATAAATCAATTAAGAAGAAAGTAATCAATCAAGTAGCCAAAAAGCAAGTAGGCAATCAAGTGAGAGTGAGAAGCAAGAGTAGTCTTGTAGGAGTGTGAGTGGTCTAGAGTGTGTCTCTAGAAAGAGTGAGTGTCATAACTTCTAAAGAGTGTCCTTGAGAGTTTGTGTGTTGTAATATTTTGTGTGTGTAATACAAGTAATTTGTTTACTTATGTTGTCTCTACAACACTTGTGTTAGAGTTGTATCTAGGCTTTTTCCAATACCATGCTCACACCGGAGTACGATAGAATTTTAAAAAAAGTTGTCGTTGCTTTGTACTTGAAGGCTTAAACCAAAATGGAGAAAAACGGACGAATTCGATGAGGTACTGTTTGGTACGTGGGACGGGACGGAACGAAGTGGGATGAGACGTTCCATCCCACGTTTGGTGCGCCTAAAACAGGTGGAACGCGCTGTTTCACGGGACGAATTTTGGGTGAATTTTCGTTTCGCCTTACCTCCTGGAACGACTCGTTCCACATCCGTGGAACACAAAATTATAACCTCTTCGTCTCCTTCTTCTTCCTCCTTGTTTCCATCTGAGGGCTTCTTTGCTCTCTCTTCGTTTCGTCCCGTCCCGTCCAATCTCATTCCGTTCCATCCCCGTTCCATCCTGTCCCGTCCCGTCCCATTCTTTTCCATCTCGTCTCGTCTGCATATCAAACGATACCTGATTATGTGCATTCAATCGTACTATGGATGAATTAGCAACGAATCCTCCATGTTGGTCTTACACATTTGGGATTCGATCGTCCTTGCTGCTATCACATTCATTCATCAAAGCTAAATAACATTTTCTTTCCCTCTTCTTTCCTTTTTTATTTTTTTGAATTTCACCACATATCAGATTGACATATATACCCTTAAAGTTGCACTACAATTATAAGCGGCCAACCTTTCTTTTGTGTGGTTAATAAAGGTTCATGCATGGAGGACACGAAAGGACCGCCGGTTCATACGAACCTGGAAAAACATCAGTTGTTTTTCATTTTTGTATGGGGGAGTTTGGCCTTGGATGGTCACATCCATAAAAATGCGATGACACCCAATCCTTTGAATTCATTTAAATGAATGGTAATTGATCCTAATGAATAATAATTAACCAAATGCATCCTCATTTCTAAAAAATATGCTGGTACAAAATTTAGTCAATTCGTATTAAAATATTATTATTATTTTTATAGAAAAAAAAAAGAGTTTTAATTTCGTTTTTTAATCAATATTGTCATGTCACATATCATTATCCGAAAGTAGCATTTTGTAGATATATTTACAATAAGATTTTCAACCAATCATGACGCGCCATGTGTCACTATCTGTTTACAATCTTTTAGCCAAGATTTTGATTGATAAAATTTTCAACCAATCTTGTCACGACACATGGCATTATCCGAAAATATTAATTTGTAGATAGATTTCCGATAAGATTTTCAACCAATTTTGTTACGACATGTATCATTATCCAAAAGTACTAATTTGTGGATAAATTTCCGATAAGATTTTCAACCAATCGCGACAACCTACATCTCCCTATCTGTTTACAGTTATGGAAAAACATCAGTTGTTTTTCATTATAGTGTAGGTACTAGCTAGGTAGTGTAGCCTAAAATTTATCTTGTTATAATTTTGTCGAGATTGGCAGCCTCCTCTCCTCAGTATCTCACATATTAAGCTCTCTCTCTATCGACGAACGCACTCACTCCACCTAAGCCACCACCTTCTCCGACTCGTCAGGTACAAAGGCAAAAGCCTTCTTCTCGTTTTTAGCTCAAAAGTTTGCTTACCTTTAAAACATGTGCTCATTTATCTTTTTTGTTTCAAGGTTTTACTTTCATAAACGGCAGCCGCCACCATCTTCGATTCCGTCTTGGACTCCGTCTCCCAACTCCGACTCCGTCTCCGTCTTCGACTGCTCAGGTACATAGTAAATCTGTTTATTGTTTCTCGTTCATCGTTTGCTTGCTTAATAGATGGTCAGTTTTATAAGCCTTGAGTGATTTTGAGTTTGCAATATGGATGCACCACTTCAAGATGAACAAAATTATTTAATGGTTTTCTCTAACTTGTTTACTTTCCTTAATGATTAATATTACGAACACAGAGTTGGATGTTTTATTTTTATTTTTTCGAGTTTGATTCTTTATGTTTGGGTCCAATGATTTATAATTTCAACACAAAATACTGTAATGGTTTACTCAAACTTGTTTTCTGGGTGGGTAGTCGGCATCTTCGGCCTTTTCGGATAAATATATATATATATATATATATATATATATATATGTAGAAGTTAGGTTCCCATCCTTTGTTATTAATTAAAATCTTACTCCTTTTCAATTTTTTTATCAAAGTTTTTAAGTTTTAATAAATGGTATTAATTATTTGAATAATAATTTTTTTTTCTAAATATATATTTTTAGAAATATTACATAGGGTATATTTATATTTATGACTAAATTTTCAGGAAATATATTTTTTCTAAATATACCCTATGTTAACGAGTTCTATCTTGAAGCCAAGAAGTTCACCGAAAGCAATTGTGCTTAGTGTATAAAAATATAGGTTAAACACAGTATCCTCCTATCCGTATGACTGAAAGTCAGATGCAATAGTATGAACATGATCAACTATTCAAGAGTCTATTAACAGTGCTTCCTGGCTAGGACAACACTAGTAGCAATGTAAAGACACAAATTGTTCCTAATCCTTGGACGCAGTTGGTAGTCATTTGACAAAAGAACAACAACCAGGATAGCAAAAGCAACATTTCCAACTCAAGTCACACGAAGCAATTCCCATACGAGACTAGTAAAACCTACTCATTCAACAAAAGAGCAACAAACCGCAGCATTACAATGCCAACACTTCCAAAACAACCCACAGAAAGAGTGAGACATCATTCTCAATTAGATCACTTTTAGTTCCAGAAAGAGCTGTCATTTAGTTCCTGAATCTGATCGACTTATTTTCTGCAGAAAAGTCGAACGGAAATAAACAAATAAAAACTAGTCATTCAACAAAAAAACAACAAACAGGATTGCAATGCAACATTTCCAATTCCAGTCACACACATCTCCCTTTCGAGATTATTGAAACCTACTCATTCAACAAAAGAACAACAAACCCCAGCATTGCAATGCCAACATTTCCAATTCAACCTACAGAAATCAACTTCCATACGAGACTAGTAACTGCTAGTTTGTAAACAAAAAAAAAAAGGGAACTTTAACGAAAAGCACCCGGTACTGTTCACTTTAACGAAAAACCACATTTTTACACTAAAAAGTCAATCCTGGTATTATTCACTTTACCCTTTATTTTGTCCTTATCATTAAAACTCAAAGTTTTCAAGCCCTTTTCATTAGTTTTCCTAAAAAAAATATGTAAAATTGAAAGGCAGAAGGCAGTGCGTAGGCGAAAAATGCTTTTGTTTCTCAGCCATACCTCCACATGCATCAACCACATTCCGGTAGAGGCCAACCTAGGGAGGAAAAGAAACAACCCTTTTTTCTTTTGGTTGTTGATCATTCTATTGTATCGTGATGTCTTACTAGGTTTTTCATGGATAACCAACGATGCGGTAATCTGGTAGCCGATGCCACAGCAGAACTGTGGTGTGTGCTATGGTACTGGTTCTTGCATGCATATTTGGGATGAGTGTTCACCTTAATCAGGCTGAGGGTAGTGTTAAGAAGGGATTCTAGGGTTTCGTAGAGGCTCTATATTTTACGGTTGTTACTATAACAATTGTAGGATATGGAGACTACGTTCCCAACACGGGTACATCGAAGTGGTTCACAATATTAGTCATAGTGGTTTTGGCAAATACAAGTATGTGTACCATCGATAAAATCATAGGTAAGCTCATATCTTGGATTGTTTCCAAGAGTAGATTTTATCAGAGGCCTAGGCATCATCAAATCGGTTCGGCAACATTTTGTATGTTTCTCCTCGTGGTAATCATAGGGCCTATAGTAATACACCTATTGGAGGCGAAGTAGACAACTCCGGATAACAAGAATACAAAAAATATGAATTATATAGACGTATATTACTTTAATGTTATATCGTTGATGACGGTTGGGTACATCGATTTTGCGTTCAAGTGTACCAGTGGACAGCTTTTAGCTTCGTTTCATCTGCTAATTGGACCACTGCTGGTTGTCCGATATTTGGACTTCCTACTTGGCTCTTTTCTTGGACAGTGGACAAAGTAATTAAATTTACTTTATTTACATATACCTTATGTTATGTTTTTGTGACTGTTTGAAGTAAAGTTTATTATTTTTCTTGATATACAGATCAAACTTAGAACACCAGTTATACGATGCTAGGGAAGAGCTTGATCAACTATTATAGTTGCCCTGGTGTCATATAACTGTTCTAAATTTGGTCTACATATCAAGAAAAATTATAAACTTTACTTCAAAGATTCACACAAACATAACATAAGGTATACAAAAATAAAGTAAATTTAATTACTCCGTCCACTATTGGAGAAAAGAGCCAACTACGAAGTCCAAATATCAGACGACTAGCAGTGGTCCAATTAGCAGATAAAACGAAGCGAAAAGTTGTCCACTGGTAGACTTGAATGCAAAATCGTTGTACCCAATCATAATCAACGATATAACGTTAAAGTAATATAACTTTGCATAATTCATATTTTTTGTATTATTGTTATCCGAAGTCGTTTGCTTCACCTCCCATAGGTGTATTACTGCAAGCCCTATGATTAACACTAGGAGAAACATACAAAATGTTGATGAACCGATCTGATGCTGCCTAGGCCTTTGATAAAATCTACTCTTGGAAACAATCCAAGATACGAGCTTACCTATGATTGTATGGATGGTAAACATACTTGGATTTGCCAGAACCATTGTGACTAATACTGTGAACCACTTTGAGGTACCCTTATTGGGAACGTAGTCTTCATATCCTACTGTTGTTATGTTGCAACAGTTAAATATAGACACTATGTAGTCCCAGTATCCCTTCTTAATAGTACCCTTAGCCTTATTAAAGTGAACAATCAGCCCAAATGTGAATGCAAGAAACAGTACCACAGCACGCACCGAGCCCATCTACCATCGTTTGGTTGTGGCATCGGCTGCCGGATTACCATGTCCTTGGTTATCCATGAAATACCTAGCAAGTACATAACGATACAACAAAGAATGATAAAAAACCAAAAGAAAAAAAGGGTTGTTTCTTTTCCTCCCTAGGTGGCCTCCACCGCCTACAGGGTGTCGTGGATGCGTGTGGCTGAGAAACAAAAGCATTTTTTGCCTACCTTCTACCTTGCACTTTATATATTTAATTGAAAATTACAAGCCTACAGACTGCCTTCTGCCTCTCACTTTTATATATTTAATTAAAAAAAAACATGTACTAATACTTTAAAAAAAAAAAATAGAGTTTGAATTTGGGGATGAACTTTTGTGCCGAGTCTCTAACTTACACACCCATAAATAAATTGAGAAAATATTCAATCAAACTCATCCATATATATATATATAACCCGAAGATGCCGAGGACCCAGAAAACAAGTTTGAGTAAACCATTACATGATTTTGTGCTGATAATATAAATCATTGGGTCCAAACATAAAGAATCAAACGATGAACAATAAACACATTTACTATGTACCTGAGGAGTCGAAGACGGAATCGGAGATGGCGGTGGCTGCCGTGTGTGAAAGTAAAACCTTGAAAAAAAGAAGAAGATAAATGAATACGTGTTCTAAAGGTAAGCAAGCAACTTAGACCTAAACGGAGAGAAAGACTTTGCCTTTGTACCTGAGGAATCAGAGAAGGTGGTGGCCTTAGATGTAGAGGGAGAGGGAGAAAGAGAGAGAGGCTTAATATGCTAGATACTGAGGAGAGGAGGTTGCCTATTGAGTCTAGACAAAATTATAGCAAGACAAATTTACAAAATTATAGCAAGACAAATTTTAAGCTACCATTACCTATACTATGGAAAGAGATTCTCTTCGGATCCCTTCTACCTAATCCTCCTCATCAAACAATTCGGACCCTTGAAATTTAATCAAACGGCTACAAACAGGGATCCACTCTAAAAGTTATAATAACTTTAGCCGTTTGATCAAATTTCAAGAGTCTGGATTGTTTAATGAGGAGAATTAGGTGGAAGGGATCCTTTCCATAGTACATGTACTAAGGTAGTAGCTGAAAATTTGTCTTGCTATAATTTTGTCCAGACTCAATAGTCAACCTCCTCTCCTCAGTATCTGGCATATTAAGCCCTCTCTCTATCAACGAATGCACTCACTCCATCCAAGGCCACCACCTTCTCCGACTCCTCAGGTAGAGAGGCAAAGCCTTTCTCTCCGTTTAGCTCTAATTGCTAAACGCTTTCTAGCTTCCCTTTCTCCCAAACAAAAATTATCAAGAAATTAGCAAGGTTTTGCTGCCTTTCACGTGAAGGGATAGGCAGCTTTAAAATTCATATTTTTACATGGCTTTGATAAATACAGCTTAAACTCTCTATCACACACACAGAGGCAGAGATGATATGTATGCGGGAGTTCCAAAACCTGCAAAGCTCCGACTTAGCTCCCGCTACTTGACTCCTAAGAACAGAAGAACTCACCAAATGCACCGCCGTGTTTTATAACCTCCGAACCCTAGTACTGTGTGGTACCATTACCACATTAATACATGCCTCCGTGTTTGACAGAGATTGGCAGATCTCTATATTATCTTTTTGCACACCAATTCGGTTGGTATTACCTATTTGATGATTGGATAGGGAGCAACTAGCTAGAAATATAATTTGGTTAGCTAATATGTCAAAACTAATTAGCTGAGTTCTAACCGTGTCCACCACCTATGTTTTCACAACCTCTAATAGATAAGCCTCAATCTCTAAATTTGTTTCTTCAATGTACATATAATTTGGATAGCTAATATGTCAAAACTAATTAGCTTACTTTTTTTACTCTTCTTTTTTCTTGTAATGTTGCACAATATCCAAACTATCTATTTTTAAGTTACTCTTAATGATCAATTTATAAACAAATAACTAAATTGAAAATTATTTAGTCATCTAAAAATAGAGTTCTTCACTTAACTAATTAAAATATCGACAATGTGAATTGACGCTTAAATAATTTCTAATTTTGTTAATTTTGCAGAGTTCAAGTTTACATGGTGATCTAAAAATTACATAGTTTTGATTATTAAACATGAGTAAGAAGAAAGTTGAAAGGGTAAATGAGAAAATTCAAGTAAAAAGTAGCAAGAATCGAGTGGAAAGGTTATTAGAATTCCATCCTTTTTAATACATTAAAGACCATGTAACCTATTTAGCCTCTCAAGCAAGTTTCTAGAGGTTTTCCGAGCGATACTCCAACTCGTCTTGCATGGGCAGAAAGAGAATTTATCTCCTCAATGCTATTCCAAGTTGTCATAATTTAGTTGTCCTTTTTAAACCTAGATCTTGGGATCTCCAGTCAACTAGGTTGGGTTTCCACTATGACTACTCCAATTACAGGCTTTTAACTCATTCCCCTCAATGATACAACTTACTCTCTAATTAAAACTTAATTATTGGATCCACTAGGTTGACTATCTCTTTAATGTATGACCATCGCAAATTTCATCCATGCATGAAAATTGATTTTATTTGCGAGTAGTTGTTTTCTTACGTTTAAGTCCTCCAAACATGTATATTCGGACCTAATTACTAAGTGTAGAGTCAGTTACCGTTTCCTAACTCAACACGGCCGGGCCCGTGTGTACCATCAAAGGGAGCTGGAGCTCGTACTCACAAACCCCAACAGCAAGTACGGCTTCGATCTCTACATTGGAGATCGTCTGCAAGCCTTACTCTTCTTGTACGATCACTGGTTTGGCAACAGCTTTATGGTGACTACCAAGTCATTGCCTTCTCCCTTGCTTTTAACCAGCGAGACCAACCAGACGGCCACCTTGAGTTTCAAAAGCAAACTGATCATGCCTACTTCGATGAAGAACTCATCGAGGAAATCTCCAGAGGGATAATCCAAGTCCACTTGAATGTGATGCCTCGATTTCAGCTCATGCCCACAACTTCGAAGCTTGAGGGATTCCATATGTTGCGACTCTTCTGCCCCGACATGGGTCTGTGCAAGTTCAATTCTACCCGTAGTAGGGAAATCGTTTAACTAATTCTACCCTTAGTAGGGAAATCGTTTAACTCTTTATTAAATGTGTTGGTAAATGTAATTGCTTGCAGTAGACAGACTGGTGTTATGTAATTGGAGATAAATTGATTCTACTTAATTCCAAATTAATCCAGTGATGTCTTTTCTTATTGGATTTGATTGCGCATTACATACATTGTTGTTGGGAAATGCAGGGTTTGAGCTCAATAAATTGATTACCTAATTTAATGTTTTTATCTCATTAAATCGATTACGTAACATTCTTCTTCATCGAGCCCAAATCCTGAATTTCTCAACAGTAATGTATGTAATGCGTAATCAAATCCGATAAGTAAAGACATCACCAGATTAATTTGGAATTAAGTAGAATCAATTTATCTCCAATTACATAACACCAGTTCGTCTATTGCAAGCAACTATATTTACCAACACATTTAATAAAGAGTCAAACGATTTCCCTGCTACGGGTAGAATCGAACTCGCACAGCCTCATGCCAGGGCAGGAGAGCCACAACACATGAAATCCCTCAGGCTTTGAAGTGGTGGGCATGAGCCGATATCGAGCCATCACATTCAGGTGGACTTGGATTATTATTCTGGAGATTTCCTTGATAAGTTCTTCACCTAAGTAGGCACGGTCAGTTTGCATTTGAAAACTTAAGGTAGTCGTCTGGTTGGTCTTGCTGGTTAAAAGCAAAAGAGGAGGTGATGACTTGGTAGTCACCATAAAGCTGCCGCAAGCCAGCGATCGTACAAGAAGAGCGTGGCCTGTAGATGATCTTAAATGTAAAGATCAAATCAATGCTTGCTGTTGGGGTTTGTGACTACGAGCTTCAGCTCCCATTTGACGTTACACTCGGGCCCAGCCGCGTTAAGTCAAGAAACAATAACTAACTCAACACTTACTTCCAATGGTTCCGGAAAAGGTGAGTAAGCCCTACATTAGACGAGGATGAAGACCACAATAAGAGCACTAGGACGGGCTGCTGGTTATAATATGTCCTCATTGTTGAATAAATATTGGGAATGAACACCGATGGCTTCATGACTATGAGCTATGTGGATCGATCAATGGCAGCAGGAGAAAAGATGAACAATACGGGCCGAGGGAAAGATAATGTTAAGCATTTAGAAGGTTAAAAGTTAGAAAATAGCCTAATTTGGTCGAAAATTCATCTCCAATCAAAGGCCAAGGGGGCATCAGGCTAGCCAAATGTGGTCTTCTTCTTAACCTTTTTTGAGATCCAGCTCTTCAATTGCAATAATTGATTGAAACTCAACGGTTAGATTTGAAAACATTCAAAAGTAGTTTAATTAAATTAACCATAAATTTAAAGTATAAACATAAAACTAATAAATTATTGAGGGGCTATGTTTATCGCCTTCGGTTGGTTGAAGATGGTGTATAAGTATAGTCTGATACTGTTTATTTTAAAAAAAAAATTACAGGGCTATATTTAGCCTTTTTGGTTAAAAATGGGCTTAAGTGTCTATGGTTGGTACTTAGAGAGTAATATATTATTCTTTGGGCCATTCATAATAAGCTCAATAGGCGCCCCATTTCTAAGAGCATTGTTGGAACTTTTAATATTATATTAAATTAAATAATTAAATGGAAATTAGAAGTTATGTCTTTTGGTGGAAATATACGTCTAACATAATGAATAGTAACTTTTGACTCTTGATAAATGGTCACATGTTTTCCAAAAAAATATCTCAAATCTATAAATAAGGAAGCCTCCTATAATCATAAAATCAATATACATATTCATACATATAATGCACTAAAAATTAGATAGTATAATTGAGTCTATATGAGAGTGTATTCAACACAATCATGATTCTTTGGAGCCTTGTGATTTGGAGTGCTACTATTACAAGGACGTGGTCGTTGTATCCCGAGTGACAAGCGTCAACCAACCATGAACATCGTAGTGGGGCGTAAACTTATCTTAAGGACAGAGTGTCCAACACTTGCCTCGACTGTACTTCTAGGTTTTTCTAATCCATTATGTCATGTTCGTTTAATATTAGTTAATCATGTGCATGCATTACTTTGATATATAATTGCATAAATTATTTCTTAATTTTTTATGTGATTTAATATAGCAATTAGATCGTATTTTCCCAACAATCTTAAGACAAGTTTAGATTTGGTTGCTATAATTTTGTCATCAGTTCCAAATTGGCATTACATAAGTGGTAATTCATAATTACTTCTTGTCACGTCCAGATCCCAAGATAGGTCTAGGATCCACACGTGACATCATCACATACACTTTCACCCGAATCATTGTGCCAATAGTAGTAATTTTTCTTTTATCATATGGTTGCATCTAACCTCTATGTCAGACTGCCTACGTACCCTAAGACAGGATCAAGCCATTCGTAATTCCCTAACATATCTCACGTTATTACAAAGTCTGATAAGAATTCCATCTTATATCAAAGCAAGCCATAATCACACCAATAGACATCCAACAAAAGCATTAATTCGATTACCATTCATGTAATCTAATTATGTACACAAGTAATCAACCAATGAGATAAATAATAAGATAACATTCCACGAAGTTTAGTATAATCAAACTCCAAAAATGTTTGTTGTATTTCCTATACATGGATTCCTAAGCATTGCTCTCAGTTACTAATACAAGGATCCACCAACATGGCCAAATCCATTTTCACAATATAAGACATTACTAAATGCATTAGATGAACTTTAATCCTAGTCAAAGTACTTGGAATACTAATTTAACAGTCCCCATTTTGGTTGACCTAATATAGCTTCATCACTGCCAATACATTTGAATGGAAATAGTTCTGGACTATAAGTGATTATGTGTTTCAATAGGCATAAGTGCACCAATACATTAAGTCATTGAGCTTATAATTGTATCAGAAAATGGTTCTTTGAAACCCAATACATAACCATATAAAGTGATTTAATAAACTCAATATTGATAAGTAAATTAGAATTAAAATTTAGAGAAGAAAGAACATTGCAAAGCAGCAACCTCTTCTCCACAAACGCTGCAGTTTAAGTCAACCAATATTAACCTGATTTTGAACACTCATACCTAACTAGTTGATGCAAACTTACATGGGTTTCGAAGCTTGTTTTGTGTACTTCAAAAGCATAAAAGATTTGTAGAAAACGGGGTTCTAAGTTGAAAGTTATGCAAGTTACAAAATAGAGTACCGAAACTGGAAACCCAGTATTTGCTGCTGTCTGGCAGCTTCGGGACTCAAGTTTGAATATGATTTTGACATATCAATACTCAATGGAATTAAGTGAAATCAGATGGCTATTGATCATGGACACGTCTAGTTTTAAACCACGTAATAGTGGCTCAAAAGGAATCCATAAAGGCAGAGAAATTAAGAGCCAAAATAGGCTACTTGAAACATAGTTTTTCTGTGAAGAATTAATAAATTTCTTGCAATTTAGAACCTATACTCTTATAATGCAAATTACATTTTCAGAATGCTTCCACACATTTCAGACTTCATGTTTATAACTTCGATTTCAATTATATTCAATAATTAACAAGACTTGACCTTTTAATCCAAACCCTAGAACAAGATATTTGATTACAACACCCAAAGTATAAAACTGAAAATAATACGAAAGATTGATACAAAGCAGCTATGGAAGGAATAAAGAGAGATGTGAATCGTTACCTATGCTGCGGTCGACAAAAGCAATCACATTTCTGTTATGGTTCAAACGACATGGTTGTACAACTTTTCTCTCAGTTTCTAGTAGACATTTTAATTCCTTATTTTCTCTTTGCTTCTCCTGGTGTCTTCCATATTTCCTTCGACTTCTCTCAAAGATTCATAGTTTCTATCCTTGTCCCCCTTTTCTTTTTTCCGCTCTCTCCCCCCTTTTCTGATTAATAGTTTTGGGGCCGTGGGATTCCTTGTAATCCCCCCCCCCCCAATCCATTGGCCAACGCCATCTCCCACCTTTTTTTTCTTCTCTCTTCCTCCCCCTTCCAGATGCCTCCTTTTTTTCCCCTTTGCTTTACTTTAGTTAATATTTTATATTATTATTAGTTTTACTCTTTAAATTTAGAATTACAAGAACACCCTTAACATTTGTGTTTCGTACAATCTTTATTTTAGCTCTAATTTCCTCTCCACTCGTGCTTATGCGCTCATATCGATGAGTACCACGAACATGTGCAAAGACATACGTGTCACAAGTTTAATGGTCAACAAAAGTCAACAATTTCCCCTCTAGAAGTATTTTGAACATTTCACAATTTTCAGAAAATAAAATATAGTAACTTATAGACGGGTTTTAACACTTGTTGTTTTGCATGATTGCATACTTGGGTTTTCCATATTCGTTTTGATTGTTAATTTCGTAAGCGCATGATCAGGTTGTAGACAACATGTTTTGCATTCATACATGTATTGTTTCAAAGAACATGCCAACAATATGTGTTATTAACTTATTACTGTGTTTTTACATATGCTTAATGTAGCATACACGAAGTGATTCATAAATTCATATACTGTTCGTGAATTTAATTAAGATTTGATTGGATTCAAATTAAGAGATATTGGAGCATGCATGGCACTTCTTTTGTCTTGTATATAAGTGACAGTGATGTATTTATAATCTTGTACTAGTTGACAAAAGGTTATTTCCTCACGAGTTTTCACTAGGAAAAGTTATTTGGTGCAGCCATTTTTGTAATATGATGTTTTCTCTAATATGATGTATACATTATAAATAAAAAAATAAATAGATTTTACATTAAAAAAAGAGTACATTTTACATAAAAAGGGTATATTCACAAAAAGGTACATTTTACATATAATAAAGTGGTACATTTATAAAGAAAAATAGGTACATTATAAATAAATTATTAGTATAAATAAAACTTTTAAAAATATGGGCACAAAATGAAATTAATATATGGGTACAAATTAAAACTAAAAAGAAAATTGGTACAAATTAAAAAAAGGTTGCAAACTAAAAATGGTACAAACTAAAAATAGAAATATATAATACAAAGTTTAACCATAAATATATATATACGAAATATAACAATTCTAACACTAAATAAATATATTTTAGAAATAAAATTTAATTATGTTGGTATGTAAATAATTTATAATTGAAATAATGACGCTTATTAAAAATTAGAAATTTTGATAAAAAAAATTAATCAATACAATAAAAGAAAAAAGATTGAGAATCTAGTTTCTCATTAAAGACATTGAAAGAATGAGAAAAAACAGGTGAGTGAGACTGTGAGGGTGAGATGAGGTGAAAATAGCATCACTCAAAATTACTGGATATCCTTACATGTATTAACCCCAAACAATACAGTATTTACTCAAAATGAGTTCTCAAAAAAAAAAAAAAAAAAAAAGCAGAAGCAAATTGGATGGCTCCAAAGTAATGAAGCCATTCTAGCCGGTTGCTTTTACTGAATTTAGCTTAAGCCATCACCACCTCAATTCTAGCCGGTTGCTCTTTTACTGAACTCTGCATGCACAGAATAGGGCCAGACTGAAGAGACAAGTCACCGGACCCTCCGACCTAATGACAAACATGTCATGTCAATCTTTTTTGGGAATTTTGTTTGACAAGTCACCAGACTCCATTTTACACTCAATCATCCAGAGAATCACAAAGAAAAGTGAAGAGGTCCGAAAGTTAGAAGAAAAAAAGTGGAGTAATGATTCTTGAAATTTGGCCAAATTTGAGCTTTGATCTTGAATTAAAAAGTGAGTTTTAGTTTCTGAATTCATTATGTGAAGACACATTTTGACCAATTCTGTTAGACCTTTTATTATTCTATATTATAAATTTGTATTAAGTTTATTGATCAATACTTATAAATTTTTTATTCAAATTCTCATAATATATTGGCGATTAAAAATATGAATTTAGAGCTGCTTTTGCGTTTACATGGCAAAAGCAGCAAAAACTTGCCAATTTCTTCATGATTTTTGTTTCATAAAAAAAAAAATTGTTTGGAAGAAAGGGAAACTAGAAAGCGTTTTCTGTTTTCCTTCTTGTGTGATGGCAGCAGCAGACAGAAGGCAGCACAAGGCGTAGAGGGTAGGAGGGCTAGTATTTAGATCTAACAATTTTTTATACGACTCATTAACTCAATACGAAATGACATGAAAATAACAAATTTTCAATTTTCAATGAGTCGAGTCATTATTGGATCATATGTTAAAAATTCGTTAAGTTAACAAATTTAACACGACATAATCTTTTAAAATAATGTGTATGACACAAATCAACCATTTTACTCTTACACATTTGGGATTTGATCGTCCTCTGTCACATTCATTCATCAAGCCAAACAGCATTTTTTTCTCCCTCTTGTATATTTTTTCCTTTTCTTTTTTAATTCACCACATATCAAAGTGACATAAATACCAAGTTGCACTATAATTACAAGCAACCAACCTTCATTCTAACTTTTCTTTAGCATGGCAAAGTAACAGAAAACTTCATTCAAAATCCAAAATCCAAAATCCTTGAAAAGTATTATTTTTATAGTATGAAAAAACTAGCTACATTCTAGTCTTATGTTTCCACAACATTTAACAGTAGTCTTGAAAGCCTACATCAAGACCTAATTTGTAATTCACAGTGCAAAATCATGCTCCAGTTTCACCTCTTAAACTTCACCGGAGAGTTATTGATTTAAAAAATTTCGAGAACTACTAAAAAATTACCAAAGCAAGCTGCAGCTGCAATAACATGATGTCCACAGGGCAAATAGTAGATCAGAAAATGTAGGAGAAAAGAAAAGTAACATGTCTTGCATGACATAATGCTTTGAACGCTGGGATACTTTATTTAAAACACTAGAATTAACCTTAGTTGAATTTACAACGAAATGATAACACATTCATTAGACCTCTTCAATTTAAATTTTAGGTTCTAAATCCACTTCAGCTGACACACCCCGTCCCGAAGGAGGGCATGCTGGCCGTCACGTGAGAGTGACGTAACCATTTACACAGTTCGGAAGCTTTAAAAAAACAATTACTAAGATGAAACACCCGAGGGTGAGTTCTACTTTTGTGAATTCTGTCAGAACACCGTTGGATTCCTCGTGGCCACCAAAGCTCTGCTATCTGGAACCTGGAGGGGCGCAAAACAAAATTGAGTGGGTCAGTAAAACAAAGTTTTTTGAAAACATTTCATTTAAAACATTTCTAACCCCTCGATGTAAAACCTGTATACTTTCCCAGAAAATAATATAATAGCATATACCTTCAAATATCTCAAATCATCAATCTTTATCAAAACAAAAAAGTATGCTATGTCATAATGTCAAAAACAGAATATGGATGCATCAATATAACATGTGAAATAAGGAATCAACCGGAGACCCTGCAGTTGGTCCTGTACGGTTAATTCTATAGCTCAATATCCAATCCAACCGGAGTCACCACGGTGACCTATACGGCGCTACTCTGCACATAAGTCAGAACTACCTGAAGTAGTCTGTACGACAAGAATGGTGTAATAATACACTCTAGTGTTTCTCTCATCAATCATCTGTGAACATAATCTAAGGTCACCTACCAGTCGGAACCACCTCTAGTGGTCTGTAGAACTAGCATGTCGGAACCCTCTCATGGTCTATACGACATGCACCTACTTGGATCCAAGGTGAGCGTGCGGTGTGGTGAATAATATAAGCACTAACACCAGGGGTGCAGGTTATGAGCTCTCAACACAATTCACATCATCAATGATTCACATGAATAACATAATACTCACCTGATACTCATCTGTGCGTCTACAACACTAATTCACATATATATATATGCATCAATTATCAATTCATATATCTTATAATATGCATGCATGACATTTTAAAACATTCTTTCATTTAAATTCAATTTCTGGGAAAATCAACAGTATATAGGTAAATACAGAAAATACTGCCCACTCACCTGGAGTTCGCCCAACAACTCCCTAGCACCACACATCAAGGCATCATGACGATCGGCGCCTAGAACAATAATCAAATCCAACCTCAGAATTCATATCGATAGAATATATAACCTATATAAAACACGTCACTACGTAGTTCGATTCGGAAGATCTGCAACTCAGATTTCAAATCCATAACTTCTAGATGTCCACAATATACCTCTAGGACAACATCCTAAAATTTCATTACCATCCAACGGTCGGATCTCTGTCAATTTCCAAAACCAAGTGACGGTTAACATTCTATTTTATGAACTTACAACTCCAATTTCGAAAGATCCGTTAATCAGATTCCAGATCCGTAAGTTCCTATAATCCTCAAATATTACATATTACAACGTATCAAAGTTTGGTGACGATCCGACGGTCGGATCGTCAATTCACATTTTCACCTAACCACGAATCGAAACGAATTTAGGTTCAATTACTCAATTTACGTGCATAAATTATCTAAACTGAACCTAGAACCTTAAACACATGCTAAGAATGATATTGGTGGGCCATTGGCCACGCGCCGCCGCACGGGCCGCCGTGGGTGGCGGTTGGCCGCCCCGGCTCGCAGGAAAATCTAACTATTTCCAAAAATTCTCAAAAAATACAAAATTGAAGATCTCAATGAGTAGAGTAAACTTTATACCTGAGTCGAAGGCCAATTTGGCCTGGAAATGCTCCAATTCCACCAAAACCGTGAAGAACCCTAGAAATGGGTGTGTCTCAATTCGACCTCCAAACGTGTTCTGACACCTCCACCACTGATTGGGCTTTGTTCCAGGGTTCTAGAGGAGTCTAGCGGTGGTAGCAATTTGCTGGATTACCTTCACGATCGTCAGATTTTGCCATGGCATCCTCAGAAACCCATATTTTCGTTCTACTCGAATTCAAGTTCAAATCCCAGAAAATTTGATTGGAAATGGAAGAGGAAAGGACTAGGGAATGATTGGGGATGGTTTCTTAGTCCAATTTCATGAG